AGTAAAGTAAAGGAAAGGAAGGAATCTGAAGCTTATAGACATGTATTCTTTATATCAATGAAGAGAACTCAGATGAAATAACTAAAGATGTAAAGGGATAGTGGAATAAGGCAGGAAAAAATGCCCCAGGGACAAAAAAAATGTATGTTGAAAACCGTATTTGAAATGTAAAGAAGACATATTTCATGAGGGATTTCAATCAATTTACTCAGAGTACTTTGTGCAAATAAAAAAAATATTGTTTTTAACTTCTTATAGCAGTTGAAATTTGTTTTACCACATTACACATATGAATATTGACTTTAAAAATTCTTAAAATTTTCTATAGTTGAAAAAAGGCAATTCAAGAATTTTTCAGGCGTTTATACCCGATTTTAATCTCTATAAACAACAAAAAAGAAAAGAACATAAGCAAAAATTACTTTTTTTCTTTGTTTTTAAAAATTCTTATGTTCTGTCACATATCATAAAAAGGTCTTTCTATTTCAGCAAGTGTCAGACTGAGCTTACAAGTCACAAGTGCGAGGAAGTTCTTGACAGCAATGAGGTTATGTACCACAATGGCATTACAGAGTGGAAGCAAGAGACAAGGTATTCTAGGGTGTACAAAGGCAGTAGTAATAACTAAGGGCAGGGAGAGTTAGTGAGTAATCAAAAGATTAGTTCACATGAAATGATCAATGATGATATTCTTAAGCTTGATTTATATGCCCACTTCTGACAAATGGTTCTCGAATTTTGGCGAATGAGCATATGTGCAGTGCGGTTTTTGGAAAGAAACAGCAACACTGTTTACAAACGCATTTGCTAAAATACTGAAATTATCTGTCAAAAGAAGTCTGTAAATAGAGTTTTCTACCAGTGTTTTGGACTTGGGAAAAGCACCACCCCTTAACATGATCACTCACCCTCATTCCAACAGTTCTTCTCCTGGGAATAACTGATCTTCGGAGACCAACGTGCTCTGGTGACCCTATGGTCGGGGACTGGGGCAAAGGATTAGTTAGGACAGGATTTCCTTTATTTGCTCTGGAAAGCAAATTCTAACAAAAATCTGCCTAAAAAAATGTATTTTTTAAAGGAAAACAGAAATGAGCCCGAGTTCAGTTTCCATGGCGAGTGGACTAACAAATATTTTTTGCCTCTAGATCAAGAGCCTCGTGTCATAAACCATGCTGAAATCATCTTACTGTTTTATCACATACTTACAGTGGCATAATGAAAACTTATCTTTCAAAGAGAAATCTCCTACACATATTTCTGGGCAAAATATTGATGTTTCGTGCCATATAATGTTCATCATAGTCCACAATCAGACTCTTATACACTACATTTTACCCACTATGGGTGAAATTAAATTCTGCCTCGTGGAAATGCGAATTATTCATAGGTCGTAATTATTGAGGACCGCAACTAAATAGTTACATAAATTTATACAAAACCCACAAGAAATATTGAGTATTAACGCATTCCAAAAATTACTTAATTTGCAGATAAAAATTATTTCAGATTAATTTTCACTGCCACATATATTTAAATCAAACTTTACTTGGAGTGAGACACGAAGGGTTTTTGAGTAACACCTTTTTGACCATATAAACATTAGTGTTTACATTCTCTCAAAGACATCATTAAACTTACCAGATGAAGATGATGTTGCAGACGGTATTGAGACTGGCGGAGGCTGGCTCATATCTGGATAGATCATATTGTTATCCTGCCAACCACTCTGTTGTGCATTATAATCCTGTAACATTCCGTTTTAATAAAATTGTCAGTAAAACACTGTTCCATTGCCTTGAAATCTGAAAATACACTTAAATTTTTTAATTTAATCACAAGAACCCATTAATGCATTAAGTTGTTTTATGATAAACTTTATAAATAAAAGTTAGTATTAATTATGGTGGTTTATCATGTACCAACAATCTGATGCATTTGTGATTATACAGTTTTTAAAAAATTTGGTCTGATTCAGTGGGCACAAAGAAACGAATTGTTCTCCAAAAAAAATTAACACAAATATAAAAGCAGTCGAATTGTGTTAATTGGGTGTTTTTTTAATTTGTAAACAAGTATTCATTTTTTGGAACGAATAAACAATTTACATAATTTTGCATAGAAAGTATTTTTTCAAACCATCTTTTGAATGCTTATTGCGGCCCAGCCATTTGGAATATCCGAAGAGTTTATTATATAAAACATGCTAAAAATTGTCTTAAAATCTTATTTTCGAAGTTTCGATGTTTCTTCCATGGTAACTCTGTAATTTACTCCTTGAGCTCAAACAAAATTGTTACCATATTAAATAGAGGCAGAGAGAGAAGAGAACTAGGGCATCTACATAAATGTAAGTCCTTATGTAAACAATTCACATTTTAGCACATCTAGTTAAACTATCATGAACAAAAATAATGAGAGAAAACAAGGGACTTACTCCTGAATAGGTCTGCTGTTGCTGCTGTTGATATCCACTGTGATAATTGCCAATGTCATATCCGTACTGTTGGTATCCACTGTGATAGTTATTTGTGTTTGCATCATAAGACGCAGGAGGAGGACCAGCAGGCACAGATGAATTATAGTTACCCTGAGCAAAAAGTAGAAAAACATTTTCATTTTTCAGACAATGTTGAAGAAGAGAAGGAAAGGGGAAAAATATGATACGCACAACACACACATCAAAATAAATTCAACAAAAATAATTTACAGAGCATTAGCATTGGAAGCAGCGAGCATAATGACAATGCCTAACGACTTAGCCTGCTGATGATTGGGAAGTCATGAGCTTGATTCGTGACAGGCATTGGATATTGTAATAAGGCAAACACAGTGTGTTTTGAATGGAACAATGTGTTCAACTACTTCTCCATTCATGGTGACGGCCCCAGCTTCATGTGTTATGAAGTGAAACGCAGCAATTTACTTAAATGCTAATGCAAGAAATCAGTTAATGTAGAAGAGCGTGATGTGCTCTACCATGTACGAGTAAATTGCTGTATCGAGTCTCAATCGTCTGAGAGAATTGATTTGAAAAAATGATCAACAAACGTTAACTTCATGAACTATTCATCTTGGAGTTATCAAATTAAAATGGCGCTAATGGAGTGCAACTTGTGGACCACTGTGAAATGCAGTGAAGATCAACTCGCCGAGGACGCACAGGCAAGCAAAAAGTGTCATTACGTGCCCCGTGTACACAAACATTACCCTTGCCATGTGCAATGAGCAGTAGTTGCACATTCAACACCTGGAGTCTACAAGAGAAGCAATGGCTGTATGCACTGCACAATAGTTTCGTATTGTGAAACTCTGCAGTAAGTTGTACTTGCAAAAACTCAGTGAATACAACTTTATGAGTCATTGTACTCGAGACAAGTGAACAAAATAATGGCCAAGTTGGCAAGCATTCGTGGCCTTGGTTTGGCCTTTATTCACTGCAAGTGAATAAAATTTTTTACCACTGATATTTTAATATTAATTTGAATGATAGTAATAATTAATGGTAACTTATTGTAACTAGTGTGTAACTATTGTAACTACTCTCACCTCTTGATACATTGAAGGTGCTGACATCTCATAGGACTGCATACCATAGGACTGTTGCACAGAGTGCACATCTCCACCTGACCGATTTGAGCCATCTCTTCCCATGGGTGGAGATGGCCGCCACATATCCCTTGATGAACTATGTTCTCGCCTTAAATGAAAAATAAGACAACTTATTACATCAGAAAGTGCCGGAAGTGTTCTTTTTAAACTCAACATTTTGTTTCAGATTTTTAATCTGAAACATTTTAGTCCTATTTTGCATTATTTAGAATTTAGAAGTTGAAATTTGGTTTTTATCATTATTTCATTTAATTAAAAATGGATTGCAGAAGTGCCAGTGCAATCAACATGAAACTACTTCCTGGCATGACAAATGGAGTATAAAGAAATTACAAAATTTATTCTAAACATAGGGCTAAAAATTCTGTCACAGCTTTTCCCTAAAGCATTTAAGCTTAATAAGAAAAATCATAGAAATATGTATCATATTTCAATGTTGATTAGATTATGTTACAGTAGTTACAAATCCCTTGATAATGGTTGCAAATAAATATATATTTTAAGAAACTTCATTATAATAAATCGCCATGATCCCAATAATTTCAGATGCACACTATTCATGAAACATTTATTGAGGGATACTGAATAAAACTGTAACAAGTTAAAAAAAAAACGCTTATACTGATATGTCAGGCTAGAAATATGGCAAAATTCAAGAACACTTCCTCAAGAAATATGGTCTAATATTGATTAACTCTCGCACTGTACTCTGGTTAACATGCCGTATGCTTTGTTCAGGCTAGTAAGACATTTTTTTTGGGGGGACAGAATCTAAACCGTTACATTCACCAAACACTGCATCACTCTGAAAATTGTATTCTTCCACCACCAATATTTTACATCTGAAGTATCAGTTCAGTGAGTGAAGTTGAAAGTTGGGTATCGTTTCACTATAGATTTTGATGGCATATTCATTAAAAAGAATACAGTGGAAACCAATACAGACACATCTAAAAGTGTAAGAAAATATGTATGCAAGTAAATGAAGTTTTCAAACAGAGCATACACCTATCTTCAAAGAACCTGTTTTGTTTACTTTCATCATGCTTTCATTTAAACTTGTAAAAAACTAACTTTGTATCAAAGAATTATACAAGTAAATAATATTTCTTAAAGAAGTTATGAAGTGCACTTTTCTAGCATAACCACATTTAAGTTCAAAGAACAATTTTTAATTGGTGGAATGAGAAAAAAATATAGGGAGTATCACAGTCCCATCTTAAGTTGGCCATCGTTTGTGAAAGCAAAGTGAATCATTTCTTTGTTTAACGCACCAACTTCCCTAATTTAGTTTGGTATGAACAAGTGTCACAGCAACTGGTCAGACTGAACAGACTATACTAAAACTGTCCTAAGAAAATGTGGTTGGAATTCAAGTGGTAATGACCTATTTTAAATTAGTATTGTAAGGATTCATTGCATTAAATTTTTTTTTAGATTCTTTCTTTATGCCTTATTTATTGGTTTAATTGCTACTGGTGTTCACAAATCTAGTAATATTTGAACATTTTTATTATACTCTACTAGACTCCTTAAACTTTGGCATTTTCAGCCCCCTAGCTTGCTAGAGCTCTGGTGTAACAATTAGTTAGCAGAAAATATGTGTTTCTTTTTTCAATCTATCTGATTAGACCTTCCAGCATTTATAAAGTATTGTTTTTTTTATTTGATTAACACAAGCTTGAAGTAGGAAAATATCCAGTTATTGGTATGATTCAGTTCCATACGATCATGGCACAATGGAACAAACAGAAATTATTGAAAAGAAATAAAATTAATTTCACTTAATGTAATTTAAACTAATAAATCAAGGCATTAATAATTCAGATTTAAACTTAATAGGAGGAACAAAGGCACACAGAAAACAAAATATTTTTCCCCCACACAAAGAGACTTAAAATTCTCTCTTCAGAGTTTAAAGTTGTTAAATGCAAGTACCACAGGAGTGAAAATCATGGGAATTCACAATGGTACACAAATTTCACCATCTACCTTCTTTTTCTATAGAACATCTTTCACCCTTTCCTTTCTCTTCCAAGTCTTAAATTCATACACGATAGAACTTCTGGTAGGTAATCAGCAAATCATACAATTACAAAAGTAAAAGTAAATGGTCTTGGAAGAACTAACTCAGAATACCAGAAAAAAACATTACAAAAGCTGGAAACAATATTCCTCCTTTTGTTTACCATGACAACATGGCAACTTTAGTGTTTTGTTTCTATCTTGCAATACTTTTGAGAAAAGTGGCAAGTGAGTAGATCTTGAAAGACTTACATCCAATACAAAATATTGTTTTATCCCAAAATTCAATCTTCACAAGCATTTCTAACATAAAATTCATGAAAAATGTTATTGTAAGAAGTATTATTGAATTTAAATTCACCTTTCTGTATTTTTAAAAAACACAATATGTTGCTCTAGTGATTATAAATTTAAACAGCAATTATATATTCTGAGTTACTATACCATTCTTTTAATTTTTCTGCCCAAAAGTAGCATCCACAGGGGAATAATGTATATTAGGTACATAAGAACCCTTGAAAAAAATAACACCTAAGATAACTCCTGAGAACTTTTGTTTCAACTACAGCAAGTTAATTGGTAATCTGCTTTTATACAAACACCAAAAAATGAACTCGACAAAAATCTGTATTAGTGAAATTCATGACTCTGGAATCCGGCAGGACACTTCACTGAACGAAAATGACTGATTTCCTTAGTCTAGGATTGCAAAGATTTAACATTGTTAAGAGTGTTTTCCAGTATCTTTAATTGAAATGTTAAGAAGCAAACAATGGTTGAAAGAACCTTGAACAAAACATTAGCTATAAACCATTTAACATGTGCCGTAAGATTACCAAATCTAAAAGATTTAGTAATGATAAATTTTCATTTATTATTACAATTTAAACTTCTTTAATTTATTATTTATAATAAATTATATTATTTTAAATTATAATAAATTATATTATTTTAAATTATAATAAATTATATTTTAAATTATAATAAATTATATTAAATTATATTATTTTATATTAATTATAACAGTTGCAGTATACCAGATCCATGATACTGTAACAAGGGAAGGTACCAGGATACTGTACAGTATCATGGATCTGATATACTGCAACTGTTGTTTAGTTGTTTTTTCCCGGTGTACATTTTGAAGCTCCCGATTGGACACCAGTGCCCTCCTCTCATTCCAGCTCCCATCAATCCGTCACTATGCTCGAATGTAAATAGTGTCACTTCAAGATCATGACCTGGAAGGGGAGGGGGACATCGGCCAGCAACCGGGAGCTCCAATACCAAACTT